CAGCCTTCTGCCTGAGAGGAGGGGGGCAAACAGTCCATATGCAGGGTGGGTGGGGTCCTTCATGATGCAGGAGGCCCTGCTTCTGCATCTGTCCATGTAAATGTCCTCAGTAGATGGATGAATACTGTGAGTGACATTTTGAGCAGATTTTACCAGCCTCTGCAGTGGCCTCATGTCAGCAGCAGAGAAGCTCCCATATCATACGGTAACACATGAAGTGAGGATGCTCTCCAGCACACCCCTGTAGAATGCTGTCAGGACCGGGATGCTGAGGCCAGGTCCCTTCAGCCTCCTAAGGACATAAAGGCATTGGTGGGCCTTCTGTACAATACTGGCTGTGTTGTCGGCCCACTGAAGGTCACTGGAAATGTGCAGCCCTAGGTACTTAAAACTGGGGACCATTTCCACAGCTACTCCTCCAATGAAGAGGGTAGGGGCTATGACCTCTCCTCCTGAAATACACAATCATCTCCTTAGTCTTCCGCACACTGATGCAGAGGTTATTTGCTCCACACCAATCCTCCAGTTCTCTCTCCTCCTGCTTGTACTCAGATTCGTCACTGTGGGAGATCAATTCATACCATACCATCTTTATTCATAAAAGCACTTTAAAACAACCATAGCTGACACAAAGTGCTGTTCATTGGAGCACTGAGGAGAGAAAATAATTTAAAAAAAACAAATACAAGATCAGGTATCTAAAAGAAAACTAAGTCCTACTAGGGCCAAAAGCCAAAGCATAAAAGTGAGTTTTAAGACGTGTTTTAAAGGTGGACAGTGAGGGGGCTTCTCTAACGTGCAAGGGCAAGTTATTCCATAATTTGGGAGTAACGATAGAGAAAGCCCTCTCTCCTCTGAGCTTCCTCCTGGATCTCGGTACTTCCAGAGCAGCTGACCAGCTGACCTGAGAGACTGAGCAGGAGTGTAGGGGTGGAGAAGCTCAGAGAGATAAGGCGGTGCAAGATTGTGAAAAGATTTCAAAACAAACATAAGAATTTAAAAATGAACCGTATAATATACTGGCAGGCAGTGGAGTGAGGCCAGGACAGGGGTTATGTGCTTTTTTACGAGTCCCCGTTAAATGTCGTGCAGCGGCATTTTGAACCAGCTGCAGATGCGAGAGTAACGACTGACTGACTCCCACATAAAATGAGTTACAGTAATCCAGACGGGATGAAATAAAAGCATGGATCACCGTTTCAAAGTGCTGGCTAGAAAGAAAAGATTTGACATTGGTTAGTTGCCTTAAGCGATAAAAACTGGACTTAACTACAGCTCTGATTTGACTGTCCAACTTAAAATCACTGTCCAACTTAACACCAACATCAACAATAATAGCTTTACGATAAGCTTCCAAGGGTCCCAAATCAACAGGGGGGGGGCACTGGGTCCAAACACCATCACCTCTGTTTTCTTTTCATTAAAATTTTAAAAGTTTGAGGCCAGCCAAGCTTTAATGTCATCTAGATATGCCAAAACAGGTTTTATGGAGAGTGCATCCTTCTCTTTTAATGGTAAATAATAGTATGCACAGTAGAGGGCTCAGGACACGTCCCTTTTGGTCGGAGGAATGATCGTAGATGACTTAAGGCATATCGGCACCACAGCTTGGGAGAGTGAGGTGTTAAAGATGCCAGTCAGTACCCCCATCAGTTCATAAACACGTCTCTCAGATCCCATCTCAGGATATTGCTGGAGCCTGCAGCTTTGTGGGGTTTGACCTTCAGCAGGGACCTCTGCACACGCTTAGCAGCAGCTCACCTGATAGAAGTGCAAGCCAGGAGTTACTGGAGCCTTCAAAGTGGGCGTAGAATGTGTTCAGGGCATCAGGGAGAGATGAGTCCTTAGGGCATTCAGCAACTCTCTTGTAGGCAGTGATGGTCCATATGCTCATCCACATGCCCTGAGGGACAGTCTTAGAAAAATGACCCTGTATCTTTAAAGCATAGCTGGCCTTTGCCCTTTTAATCCTGGCCTCCAATTCCCTCCTCACTGCACTGTGGATGCATCTCCTGACCTGAATGCCTTGAGAAGGAACCGTCTGCGGTGGTGATGTTCCTGGTGGTGGTGATATATCATCAGTACTTTTGCTGATATTGTCACAGA